CATGTTTACCAAAAGAATTTAATGGAAAACTAGAGAAAGGAAAATAGAGAAATGTGTTTATCAAATCGTTTTCCAAACCCAAAATAATGAGATACTACCTATGTCTCATTCAAAGGTTCCAAACCACTATTTACATGGTCAACTTAAATCATTCTTAATCTTTTGCTTTATATATCAAATTTTTATCAAATTTAAATTTCCTTGATCAAACTTCATTTAAATTTTAATGTTGTTTCTGAATATATAAATTTTATTTACTAAAAATAATCAGAGTGTGAACAAGGATGGGGATCAAGTTGTTTTATCATCAGTCAAGCATCGTAAACAAATTCGGGAACATCTCTGTGGGACGCAAGGAGTATGTCTTTATTTTCCTTAATGAATTGGAGAAGTGAGTTTTACTAGTTTTCCAAATTTGGAAAAAACAGATGCTCCAGTGTCGCTGCAATGAATTATCATACTTACATGTAGTGGTGGTTTCGGTCTAGCTCTGGTGTCAATTCAAGCCCGATCAACGAACCGATGATCCCTATCGGGTCCGGTCAACTACCCGGAGGTCCAATCGATTCAAGGACCCAACGGTTCCGGCCCGATTGACGATCCGAGCGGTCCTGATCCGGTCCGGTTGATGAACCAGTGGTCTTTGTCCGGTCCAGTTCATGATCCGGCGATTCCTGTTTCGTCTGATCGACGACTCGGTGGTCCCTGTCTGATTCAATTTGATCCATGACCAGGCGGTACCTGTTCAGTCTTGTCGATGATCGGATAATCCATGACTGATCCGGTCTGGTCAATGACCTGGTGATCCCCATCCGATCCGGTGGTCCCCCATCCTGTACGGTCAACGACTTGACAGTCACTTTCATGTTCGACTAATGATCCGGTGGTCTCTGTTCGGTCCGATCGACAACCGGCCAGTCCCGAGCCAGTCCCGTCAACTACCTGACGATCCTTGTCCAGGCTAATCAATGACCCGACAGTTCGGTCTTGGTTTTTTGAAATCATTTTTTAAAATGAAGAGTTTTAAAAGAGTCGTTGAGTTGTCAACCAATTGGAAAATTAGAAAAGTTTTTTTAAGATGAAAAGAGAAAAGAATTAGTAATACTAACTGTTGGGATCGACTGCAACCGGCTGATTACAATCTTGAGTATTCTATATGTGGGACCTGGTACCCTACTTGGGTTATACTAGGTTTGGTTTCGGACTGGGATCGTAGTTTCGGTCTCCTGGTCGGTCACAGAACCGAGTAATTTTTTTTGATGAAAATGTTTTCAGATTTGAAAATGGAAAACATAAAAATGAAAACAGAAAATTGGAGATAGAAAAATTGGAAAATGAAAACAGAAAATTGGAGAACGGAAAACTGGAAAGAAAACTGAAAAATATCTTTGTTAGTAAAGAGACCCTTAGGGATTAAAGTGTATATGGAGTAAAAAGAAAGTGATGGGAGCAAGATTATGATTTTTTTATTTGGTGGATGATTCGGGTATACTTTGAAGAAAGAATGACGAATATGCATGGTTATGAGGTTTGGGGTGATTGGGATGGAGTTGGACGGTGGTTTTGAAGATTAAAGATGAAAAAGGTGAAAAAGGAGTGTATCTGGAGCTTTTGGTTCAAAAGTGATGGCAAACCTGACAAGGTTTGAATTGAAGTCAACCCGATCGGGTTATTGTGAATTTTGTCTTAGCAACCCCATCGCGTTAGGAAATGTCCGGGGTGAAATTTGTTTCAGTACCATCGGATTTATGTTTCAGTTGCCTCTGTTTTCGTTTTTCAAGCATATCCGGTCGGGTTTATATGATACGGTGATACCTCAAAGGATGACAAAGGTAGAAGTTTAACTTTGGAGCCCAACTCATACTCTTCTTCTACTAGTTGCAGCTTTGTGTCTTTTTCATCTTCTTCTTCTTCTTCTTCTTCTTCTCGATTTGAGTCTTCTTTTGCAATTCCTTTCAATTCGTTAATGTGATTGCAAAAGCTTGTTGTTTAGGATCTTGTTTTATTTAAGATGGAAGTTTCCTAAATCTATTACTACCAATTCACTCACGACACTTTGCATTTGGTTCACTTTGCTAAATCAATAACAATGAACAGTTGATCGAATTGCCCACCTCTAGATTTAGGCCTTAAGCCCCAACAATATTAAACAAAAAAGAGTTTGGGCATGCCAGCTTACCGCACATATGATGGCCCTATCATGAATATTAATCCAGCTGGTATATATTGCTAGTTTGCAACTTGTCAAGATTCCCCTAATTTTTGTATGTTCTATTGTTCCTTCAATTAATCTACTACTTTGACCAAAGTGTCAATTACAGCAATGTGTTTCTTAGTCACGAAATGATGAAAATATTCAAGGATACGATGATATGAATGTGATAAAAGGCTACTTTAGAATGAAATAATTAACATAATAAAGTGGAGATTTTTTATGAGATTGTTAGTAGACTAAAACTATCATTCTTTTTTTTCATCCATAAAAAATAATGATATTATATAATAAATTTGCTATTCAATATATGATACTACGTATAAGTTAATATCAAGTTTGATATAAACTTTGATATTATCTAATTTATTTAAGTATTAATTATTGAATAATATTTAGTTTTTATTGTATCCTCCAAACTCTACTATGAATAGGTCTTCATAAGAAAGGAAGAAGGATATGATTTACTAAATTTAATTTTGTAGTTCTCATCACAAAAATATGTAGTTCTTTGACCAGAGCATAAACTATCAACATCCTTTTAAATATATTATACTTGTATATCTCTTGGTGATCCCATATATATCCATACAATTTTTTTATTAATTGACATGTCCAGTGGAATAGAGAAATATGTTTACAAACTGAAATTGTAATTTCACATATTAAATTACCCGAGTATATAATAATCACAATAAGTGAGATCAAAGTTTTTTCTTGATGAATTGGTAGAAGTTGCTCAACCAGACTATTTAAAAAATTCAGATTGTTTTTTCTTTATTTTAGTTATAAAATATCAGTCAAAAATAATTTTTATGATGCAACAAATCAATCGGTTGAATTGTAATTTCAGAAATTCCAATGATTTGAATGAAAGTAAAAACCAGATAAACTAATAATGTGTTCGTGTTCTTCGTGGCCACATCAATGTGATTGGAGTGTCCCTCCCCTGCCCAGTTCAACCTATCCCAGCTGTGTAATATAAAATTTTAAATGCTCATACAGTCTCGACCCATTGTTATTAAAGTCCTACTTACCAGATGTTTTTATTTAGATTGAAATTTGCTGGTCTGGTCTGATTTGTTTAAGTGGTCTGATATGGTCTGGTAAACGACCGATCTCTATGTATTTTATAACTACGGAAGTCTGGTCTGGTCTTAACTGATCTGGTCCGTTTAACTCTGGTCTGGAACTGAAATCGGTCAAAGTAAGAACATCCCAAATGTGCACAGCATTTCTTTATGGGTCGTCCAAACACGGTTCTCGTGAGATTGATGATGAAAATAATCAGATTATAGAGTAATAGCATAGATAAAAAGGTAGGTGAAAAAGTACTCTTTCCATTCTTCAATGTGGCATTTACGGTGAAAAATACTCCGTATGGTTTTATCTCAATTCTCTACATTGAGATGAAGATCACTTTGGGGTATGTTAATGAGGAGGAGAGCATAAATCCTACTCAAAAACATTGTCCAAGTAGCCCTTTTTGTGTTTACTTTCAACTACTCCGTATAATACTCCCTCCGGTTCTGAATGATCTTTACACTTTCCATTTTTAGCAGTACCAGAAAGATATTTACACTTCCTTATTTGCCTTATTTGGCAAATAAATCTACACAAAACAGTGTCAAACAGTGTCAAACAATGCCAAACAGTGCCAATTAGTGTTTATTTCCTTAAAAACTGTGAAATCAAAGTGTCAAGATCATTTGGAACCGGAGGGAGTATGTATTTAATTGGATTAGTTTCTTTCCAAATCAGATCAAAATAGATCAGACCATATTAAATAGATCATTTCAACAAATCAGATTTTGATAATTATAAAATGCACATATAACGGATTGACAAACATCTCACCAGATCCAACCAGTTCAGAATTAAAAGTTAGACCAGACCACATTAGAAATTAAAGTCTAATTTAAAAAATCCAAAAGTGTCCAACACAAAAATGTGCAAGCCCAAGTTTAGCCCACCCCCTAACTTGAGCAATTAGTTACATAATACTTCGTATTTCTTATCATGTACGGACTACTTTGTATATCTTCAAAAGAAATTATCCAAAATAGAAGTAAAACATGAATAAAAACCTAATGTAATACGGAGTACCGTAGTATTAACTACCCTCATGTCTCATTTAAACGTTTTCTTCCTCTATTCTCCGGTCAATTTAAATTGGTCATAATTTTTTACTTTATAATCCAACTTTTATCAAATTTAATTTTTCTTGATAAGATATTATAAAATGTTTAATGTAGTTTATAAATATGTAAATTTTATTTATTAAAAATAATCTTATCAATGACATAGATCAATTAACTTTATGCTCAATTTTATTTATTCTCACAATATGAATTATTCTAACAATGAGACAAGGAGTGTCACGCAAATCAATAAAAAGTGGTTTATGTGATTGATATCGAATTGATAAAATAAGAATAAAGTAATAATGATTTAGAGCTACACAAACTTTACCAAATTTGATATAAGACAATCTTAGTGGGACGGACTGGTAAGGTAAAATGGGACAATCATAGCGGGACGGAGGTAATATTATTTAATTAAAGAATAAAATAATGCTCCAACCAACCATTCCAGCTCACAGGATGAAAGGTTACCGTGTCCTAGCGTAGGTCTAAGGTTCGAATCCCGTTAGACACATTTAGATGAGAGGATGAAGATCTTGCTCTCAATAATTCTTCCTACTACGCAAGAACTTCTCGAAATAAGCGTAAATGTGTGCTATTTTTGGAAGAAAATCATAATATAGTGTAGTGACTATATTCCAGCTAGCGGGACAATCATAATAAAGTTGGGTATGGCGCGGCTATTTAATAGGGAGTAGCAGATCCAACCCATCCCAGCCGGGCTTCTCATTTTCACATTTCTTTTCTTAATTAGATTTGAAGCTCGCCAAACATGGCAAAACCACTTGCTGCTGCTTCATTTCTTGCCGCCCTACTTCTGCTCCTCATCCATTTCTCTAATGCTCAACATTATCAGGTATTCCATTTCATTTCCTTTTCATTAAAACCACTAAGAATGATCATGAGAACATCAAAATTACTTTCTATTCTGTAAATTTACTTTTACTACTCTATATATATGCCTTAGATTATACAAAAATGATGTTTGTACACACTCTTATACACACTTTTGTACACACCTATGTCTGTGAAAGCTTTTTTTTTTGTCTGTGAACATCGATTCATAGACAATGTTTTGCACAAACAAAATATTGTCTGTGAATCGGATTCACAGACAAAAAAAAAACTTCACAAACATGATACGTATAAGGTGTGTACAAAGGTGTGTACGTCATTATTTGTTTGTAGATTATATAGGAAAGGAGAAAGAAACAACACAATCTGTCATTGTTTGTTTGTGGCAGGTACAGGTAGACTTGGCTAATTCCCCGGCACCAAGTCCTCAGCCACAACTCATTGGTAAATTAAAAAAACAAAAGGAATTTCTTGTTTTGTTTTTAGTTCTTACCAATAATTTAAATATAGTGCTGGCATATTTTTTACCTTCAGAAAATTGAATATACAGAAAAATTATGATCCTGTATGCCCATTCGTGTAAATGTGCGCCTACACGTCAATATTGTCTCCGTCACAGATAATTTTGTTCGGTTCTTAAACAAATTGTCTGTGATAACAACAAAAATATTGTAGACAAAAAGAGCCCGTATCAAAAGACATTTTTTCCCCAATGTCACGGATAATTTGCCTTAAAAACAGACCAAAGCATTTTTGATATATTTATTGTGTAACCCGCATGCATAGCTCAGTTGGTTCAGGGGTGGGAAATTTGGGACAATAACCAAGGTTCGAAACCCGCAACGACCGTGTGAAGGTTACAACTCGTGCGTGCTGGGTTGGACCTCTACCATTCTGTCGAGTCGGGGTGTGAGGCTCCTAAGGTGGAAGATTTCACCTTTTAGAACAACGATATACTCCCTCCTTCCTTTATAACTTTTCTTTTTTGGATATCCCACTAACTTTGTCACTTCCTCTTTTAGGTAAAGAATTTGTGGTTCTAGTTCATTCTCTCTCTTCTGTACAAACCCCAACCACACAATTTGCCGGTCAAACTTGTCAAAGTTATTAGGGACGAAGGGTGTATTTATTGTGTAAACAAATTTGACAGAATGCAGTGAAGCTTGTAAGGGAAATTTTAGCTAAAATTTGGTATGAGTAAACGAGACTTAATGAATAAGATTTTCATAAAATTCCATCGAGAACCGTCCCAAATGGCGTCGGCCGAACAGAACCTCCTATATAAGGCCTTATCTGATATTTTTTTGTAAATTCGAGCCTTATCTAACCCTTTTCTCTTTTTGTGTAAACAAATTTAAGACTGCAGTGAAGCTTGTAAGGGAAGGTGTGAGAAGTCAAAGAGACCAAACTTGTGCAATAGGTCCTGCGGCAGCTGCTGCACCAAGTGCAATTGCGTACCCCATGGAACTTCTGGAAATTACGACGATTGCCCCTGCTATTTTAATCTCACTACCCACAACAACACTCGTAAATGCCCTTAATTAATTAATTTATTGCTGTTTTTAATTCTTTTTATTTTGTTTTTTGGAGAAAACAAATAAATACTCCATTATATATAGCGAAATCTTGCTGTTATTGTCGTCTCAATGCTTCTTTTTGCCGGTTATACCTAGCTAAATGTCATTCATATGTACAACTTATAATAATAAGAATTGTTATTATTGACGTACACCAAAGATGGAAAATGTTGGTGTTTTGTGTTTATCCTTTTTATCCACTTAATGGATTACTCATTGTGTATTTTGATGCCCTTTGAGGTTATAGAACATGCAATTTGAATTCTATTTTTTTGGATGAAATGTAAGTATATATAAAAGAATCATTTCAAAAGTAACAAAATACATGTGTAAAAAGAAACTACCCAAGCTACAAAACTAACCTATGATAGCTACTACCGTTCACACCCCCACCCCTACCTCACGGCAAGGGCAGGAAAGGAGGATAATTTTTTCAAAAATAAGTTCAAATACTAGCACCGGGACAAACCTCGTCTTAGTATCAAAATCCATCACCAAAAGAAACCTAAAAGCAATCAAGACAGTCCATCACATTAAGTGGGTTTGAACCAGTAAAGGCTCAAACCCAGCAGCAAACTCAAGCAACAAAAATCCCATCAGCATTAATAGAGAAAACCGGGCAGTGAGCTAATTAAAGCCCTGAATCCCATAAGTTTCCCAGCGGTCCATCTGCTTCAACCTTGAGCCTTGCAAGCCGGCCAAGTTCAAACGGCTACAGTGGAAACGACAAGAGTGAGGACAGCTGTCCATTCACAGACTGGTCTGGCTGTATCTCCGGTGAAGCTCCGGCCATTCATCATGTAGCCCAGAAGTCCAGTATGTTACGTTCGCACATAATAGTAACCACCCCCACCCCCGCCAGGCTCCGACAGCTTACCCGGCGGCATCGCGGTAACGGCGGAGGAGAAAAGTGACCAGTCGGAAAAACAAAGCCCAATCGAGCTCCCCCCACCCCCACCCCCCACCCTCATTGGACCCCGGCAACCTCCAACGACGATGGTATACGGCTTCAGAGGTGGTATGGGCAGTAGCTGGAAGCACAAGTACCAGCAGGCGGATCAAACCCCCGGATTTCGGTGATCATCCCCGGCGAGACCTGTTTGCTGTCAAACTACACCATACTCATAACAATTCCAAAACCGAAGAAAATAAAAATACAGGAGGCCCTGTAATCGCTCCTGGCCAGTCCCCCCAGTCATCTTCTCCGGCCAACCAAACTCCAAAACCAAACCAGTCACAACCCTCAGACCAACACCATACTCTTCGCCGGACAGAAAAAACCCCTTTATCGTTCTGATGCCCCACTCTTCCCCATTCCTTCCCACAATCGTCACTCCCTACCCTCTGGAGGCCAAACGCAGTGGTAATCAGTCCGGTTTATCGAAAAGAACCTCAGGTCCTTCCAGGGGCAAAACCTTCGGCTCAGAGCAAAGAAATGGTCCTCCTGTCAAAACTTCAAATCCTTCAAACGCTCACACCACATGGCCGGAAAACACTTCAGGCACAAAAGAAGCTGGAGGTGAAAGTCCATACGAGCTCCAAGGTATCCATTGTTGGTCCAAAATAGGACGCTCGTAGGCTTTTAGGAAAGCTACGTACGACACTCAAGCAAGAATTAGGAAAGTACGAATATGGAAAGTTAGCCAGAAATAGCATCCCTGTATTTGAAATTCGAATTGCCTTTTATAGGCGATTACAAATGGTAACTGCCGAACATAATAATGACTAAATTAATTACAACATTAATACGGAATTAAACACATAATTAAGTAACGCATTGATTGTTGGCCGTTACTCTTCCTGGCTGGCAGGTCAGCCTGGCTGGCAGGCTGGACGCTTGAGCTCCCTCCTGCTGGACTGGACGGTGGGCTTCCCGCTAGGCTGGAGGAAGGCTTCTCACGGGGCTGGAGGCAGGCTCCCGGGTAGGCTGGAAGGCAGGCTCCCGGGTAGGCTGGAAGGCAGGCTCCCCGATGGGCTGGAGGCAGGCTCCCCACTGGGCTGGACCGCAGGCTCCCCACTGGGCTGGACCGCAGGCTCCCAGTTGGGCTGGACCGCAGGCTCCCGGGTAGGCTGGAAGGAACGCTCCCGGGTAGGCTGGACCGTAGGCTCCCAGTTGGGCTGGACCGCAGGCTCCCAGCTGGGCTGGTGGTCGACAGGCTCCTGGCTAGGCTGGAAGGCAGGCTCCCGGGTAGGCTGGACCGCAGGCTCCCCGCTGGGCTGGTCGACAGGCTCTCTTGGGCTTCCGCTCCTTGATTGCCCTGGTTGGTCGGGCTGACTCGAGCTCTGGGTTGCTGGGCTTGGGCCCGCTGGTCCAAGTTCGGGGCCTGGGCTGATTAGGCTCTGGGCCTAGTCCCATAACCCCATCACGAGTCCCCCACTCCCTTAGTCGAGTAGTAGACTCGGCTAAGAGGGAGTAGTTTAAGTCAGCTGCCGATTTAAAAATATTCACATATCAGGGAGCCATAATTGTGGATTATGGGAATCCCAGAGTTTATGGAAATTCCCAAATTAAATCAGGCTCCCAAAAAAGGCTCCAAATAAATTCATTCCTTTTCTTTCCTTTTCTTTTCTTTCCTTTTTTTTCTTTTCCTTTCTTTTCTTTTCTTCCTTTCTTTCCTTTTCTTTCCTTTTCTTTTCTTTCCTTTCTTTTTTCTTTCCTTTCTTCTCTTTCCTCTCTCTCCTGCGTCCGTCTTCCTCGCGTCGCGCAGTGCCGCCGTCCCAAGCTGGTGTGGTTGACCGCCGCCCCGTAGCTTCCCCGTGTCGCCCCCGCCGTGCCAGGCGGACGTCCTGTGTTGGCCGCCGGTTGCTGACGTCGCCCGCCAGTCCGGCGAATCTGGTCGGCCGGCCGGCCAGCCTGGACCTTGGTCGGCGCAATTTACAGGTATTGGCGGGCTGTCTTGTGCCACCCAACGGTCGCCGATGTTGCCCCTGCAGCCCGGTGAATCTGGCTGGCGGGCCTGGGCTCCTGTGGTGGCCGGCGCACGCTATAGGGATCGGCGGCCACCCCATTGTCGGACGGTGTCGCCCAAGAGGTTGGCGGCTAGACGGCTGGGTGACCAAGCGCCCTCGGGCCGGATGGATTTGTCCTTCTCACGGGCGTCCATGTCGTTCATCCGCTGCCAACCATCGTCGCGTAGGAAGCCGAGCGGCCAGGTGGTTCCTCGAGTCCAAGTTGAGCGGCACCGTCCCTTTCTTGGCCGGCTGCTGTCGGGCCTCGAAGGAACTAGGGCTGAGGCAAGCTAATGCCCATATGTGCGGATCCCCATGGAGCTAGGCCGAGCAATGTTGGTTGGGGATCGGACCGGCGGCCGCCACTCTGCCGGTAGACTTTGCTTAGGAAGCCGGCGGCCGTCCCACTGCTGGCTGGCATTGCCCTTCCCCTGGGCGACCAAGGCGGGCACATATCGAGGTAGGTTGATCACGTTTTGGTGTGGATTGTGTTTATCCCTGAACCCCCTCACATTTTCGTTTGTCTATCTTGCAGGGGCTCGCCAAGACCATCAGGGCACTTCACGCAGCCAATCATTCTCAGGCCAGGCTTCAGCGTGAGGCTGACGAGGCTAGGGCTGCCCTGTGGGCCAGCCAGAAAGCCTTCTCCGAGCTGCAGTCCTCGCGTGCAAAAGAATGTGAAGAAGCGGCCAAACAAGGAGCCAAGAAAGCGCTCTCCGAGTTCCAGGCCTCCGAGCAGTTCCAGAAGCTCGTCTCTGCGAGGGTGCAAGCGGAAGAGTCTGAACTGGTGCAGAGGTGGCTGACGACCCTCGACGGAGAGTATTGGCGCGCTCGCGAAGTCCTCTATGCTTTTCAGAGTGGCAAGTATTTGATGCAGCAGAAGGTGTATGGCCGGTTGAAGGATCTAGACCCTGACTTTCATCCATCCACACTCGCCCTTCCCGGCCGCATGAAGAAACCCGTGGAGGCGATAGCCCTTCTTCCCCCAGAGGCCGTCCGTCAGGAGGAGGAGCTTGGTAGTTCTAACGAATGGACTTGGTTCTTTCCGCCAGCTCCGGGGAACATGACTCCTGTGGCCCCTGGCCAGGACTTGGTTGGTGTGTTAGATGACATTCTCGAGGTTGATGGCGATGGGTCTGTCCAGCCGTGACATTGTATTTTGTATTTCCTTTGTTTCCCACTTGAATACCTCGTGGATGTTTGATTTTTATTTCATACGCCTCCTTTTCTATACTTTGCATTACGAATACTTAGCAATTTATTCGGGGATCTGGCTTCTCTAACCTCCCGGGGGGCGGTTAGGCTGGCGTGACCGAGCCTATCCGTGCCCCTCCTAGTTGGGTAGAAGTGATCTGTTCGCTATTGATGTGGAATCAACAAGTAAGCGACTTGTTTGGCCAGCAAGGTCGGACATTGAACTGACGAGGAAGACCCTTAGGTCGGTATCCTGAACGTTCATGACCCGGGGGTCAGTCCTACTGTCACTTTAACCCGTCCAGTTTGCCCGGACTTGGGGAATAATCTGGTTACTCCCGCATGGATAGCCAAACAACAGGGGCGGACCCTGCATGATCCACCAGAACGAACCCGCACCGCCAACTCAGGGATGACGAGAGTGCGAGCTGCTTGGCCAGCGATGTTAGGCAGCGAGCACTCGAAAGGACCCGGAGGTCAACATCCTGAGTACCCTCGACCCGGAGGCCAGCCCTACCGTCGCCTCGACTGTCGCGGCTAGCTCTTCACTTTAGAAAATTGCCCAGATTCTTGAAAATCGCTTGGCTATTTTCGGTTAAAGAGCCTAGCCGAGGTCGGCCAAACACCGAGGGGGGGCATAGTACCTTTTTTTTTTTTTTGCCGCCGCCCTTTATTGCTAAGTGAGGTCGGACCTCTTTTGATGACAAAATATCGCTAGCAAAGTATATTGAATTCATGATGTGGGCGGACCACATGAAGAATTACAAATTGTAATCCCGTGCTCGGAGCACAGAAGTTTACAAAGAAAAGTGAAACTTCGATTTTCTACTGGTAAAACTTCATCAGGTGCTCGGCATTCCAGACGCGGTCTACCAACCGGCCTGTTGTTGTCTTCAACTTGTATGTCCCAGGGCCGATCACTGCGTCAACCACGTAAGGGCCTTCCCACTTGACGGAGAGCTTACCTCCCTCTGTCGGCCTGCTGGCCTTCCTACGTCTTAGGACGTAATCACCGACGTCAAAACTCCGGGGTCGGGCTCGGCTATCTTGGTACGCCTTGACTTGTCGTCGATAGTTTTCCGCTTTGATGAAGGCACGGTCTCTTCTTTCCTCAATGAGGTGGA